TACGTCCGTCCGGACGTGTCCCACCTGTCAAAGGAACAAACCCTCCAGGAGTAGGGCATGGGGATTGTTACGTCCATTACCTATACCCAAGCGGGCCTGGCAAATGATAGCCATGGATTTTGTGGTCGAACTCCCACCATCCCAAGGCCACACAGCGATAATGGTGATCGTCGACCGCTTCTCGAAGATGGCGCATTTCGTGCCCCTGGAGAAGACCCCATCGGCACCGGAAACGGCACGGATCTTCATTCGGGAAGTGGTAAGGCTTCATGGAGTCCCCGAAGACATTGTGTCGGATCGGGGGGTGCAATTCACCTCCAGGTTCTGGAACGCCCTATGTAAAGCGCTGGGAATCAAGCTGTCGCTCTCATCCGCCTACCACCCGCAGACCAACGGTCAAACCGAGAGGACCAACCAAACGCTGGAACAGTATTTACGATGCTACACCTCCTATCTCCAGGATGACTGGCTGACGTTGTTGCCTTCTGCGGAGTTCTCATACAACAACTCAAGTCACTCAGCTACGGGTCAATCGCCATTCTTTTCTAATTACGGGTATCACCCCACATTCCTCCCTGATCTAATGCCTGAAAATCTGGTACCGGCGTCGCAAGACATCTTGAACTTCTTTTCCGTCAACAACAAGACTATTCAGGAAGCCATCGCTAAGGCCCAGGAGGACAGTAAGAAGGCTTTCGACAGAAAGAGAAGAGGAGATTTACTGCTTCAACCAGGAGATCTGGTTTGGCTGGCAACAGCCAACTTGAAGATGCTGTGCCCCTCAAAGAAGCTGGGACCCAAGTACATTGGCCCATTTCCTGTTAAACGAATGGTCAACGAGGTGGCCTACGAACTCGAGCTTCCGCAGACTTTCAAAATACATCCTGTGTTTCATGTATCTCTCCTGAAGCCGTCCAGACCGGATCCCTTCCCAGACCGAGAATCCAGACCTCCCGAGGCAATCGCCATAGGTGACCAGGAGGAATTTGAGGTGGAGACTATCCTCAGTTGCCGAAGGAGGGGGGGCCAGACTCAGTTCCTGATAAAATGGAAGGGTTATGGTCCTGAGGAGAACTCCTGGGAACCCGCCCAGGACGTTCACGCGCCCAGGCTCATCCGGGAGTTTTGTCGTGCTCACCCGCGGTGGAGAGATCAGTGGGGCTCCCGGAGGGTGCCCGTTGGGGGGGGGCAATGTCAGGGATCCCGGCTCCGTCTGCCGCAATCGCGGCTCTGTCCCCCGCGCATGCGCATTGGCGGCAGATCACGCCGGGACACAGGAACTAGGTCCCGGCGAGCCGCGGCTGACAGGACGCCGCGCATGCGCAGTAGAAACCGCGGGCGCGCCTCAGGCGTCCAATGACAGCCGGGGGCGCGTCCTAGCCAGCCAATGACAGTGCAGGGCGCACTATTTAAAGATGCCCTGCACTGTCACAAATTGCCGCAAGGTCTATATGTGATCCTGAATACCTGCTCCTGCTGTGACCCTGTTTTTTGACCCTGACTACGCTGCCTGCCCCCTGAGATTGACCCGGCTTTGTTCTGACTATTCTACCCGCTCCTGTGATTGACCCGGCTTTGTTCTGACTATTCTGCCTGCTCCTGCGTTTTGACTCGGCTTATCCCGACTGTTCCTACGGATTGATTTACCTGGCTGACCCTGCGTGTGACCCGACTACTCCTAGCCCGCCGATTCGGTACCCCGCTTACCCCACGGGGCCACTATCCGTACCACCCTGCTGGGGCCGCCATCCTCTTCACAGCTGGCTCTCCTGGTACCTACATACATCCCCGGAGGCCTCCTCGGCCGCTGGTGGCCCGCTCAGAGGTCGTGACCTGGCCCGGGACTGTTTCAAGTCCATCCCCACCATCAGGGGCCCTGGTGAAAGCACAGCCCGGGCTTAGACCCCACGCTCTGGGTAGGTCTACCAGCTGGCAGACGGAGGGCTCAAAAATAAATTCCAGAGTTTATCAAGACATTTTGCAGGAAAACGTACGACCATCTGTCTGCCAACTGAAGCTCCGCAGAGGATGGGTGATGCAACAGGACAATGACCCAAAGCATACAAGTAATTCAACAAAACAATGGCTGCAACAGCACAGACTACGCCTTCTGGAGTGGCCCAGTCAGAGTCCTGACCTCAACCCGATTGAAATGCTGTGGCATGACCTTAAGAGAGCAATTCACACCAGACATCCCAAGAATATTGCTACACTGAAACAGTTAAGAGGAGTGGTCCAAAATTACTCCAGATCGTTGTGCAGGTCTTATCTGCAACTACAGGAAACGTTTGGTTGAGGTTATTGCTGCCAAAGGAGGGTCAACCAGTTATTAAGTCCAAAGGTTCACATACTTTTTCCTCCCTGCACTGTGAATGTTTACATGTTATGTGCAATTAAACCATGGCAACATCTAATGTTTGTGTAGTATTATGTTTAGCAGACTGTGTTCTTCTACTGTTGTGACTTAGATGACGTTCAGAGCACATTTTATGCCCAATTAATGCAAAACTCCATGTAATCCCAAGGGGTTCACATACTTTTTCTTGCAACTGTAGGCAGGGATATTGCAGCTACTAAGATTGCACCTAAATCAACCATTTATCAGATCATCAAGAACTTCAAGAAGAGAGGTTCAGTTGTTGTGAAGAAGGCTTCAGAGTGCCCAAGAAAGTCCAGCAAGTGCCAGGATGTCACCTAAAGCTCATTCAGCTGCGGGAGCAGGACACCACCAATGCAGAGCCCAGTGCAGAGCTTGCTCAGGAATGGCACCAGGCAGGTGTTAGTGCATCTGCACGCACAATGAGGGGAAGACTTTTGGAGGATGGCCTGGTGTCAAGAAGGGCAGCAAAGAAGCCACTTCTCTCCAGGCAAAACATCAATGACAGACTGATATTCTGAAAAAGGTACAATGATCTGACTGCTGAGGACTAGGGTGAAGTCATTTTCTCTGATGAATCCCCTTTCTGATTGTTTGGGGCATCCAGAAAAAACCTTGTCCGGAGAAGAAAAGGTGAGCGCTACCATTAGTCCTGTGTCCTGCCAACAGTAAAACATCCTGAGACCATTCATGTGTGGGGTTGTTTCTCAGCCAAGGGAGTGGGCTCACTCACAATTTTGCCTAAGAACACAGCCATGAATAAAGAATGGTACAAAAACCTCCTCCGAGAGAAACTTCTTCCAAGCATCCAAGAACAGTTTGGTGATGAACAATGCCTTTTGCAGCATAATGGAGCACCTTGCCATAAGGCAAAAGTGATAACTAAGTGGCTTGAAGAACAAAACATCGAAATATTGGGTCCATGGCCAGGAAACTCCCTAGACCTTAATCCCATAGACAACCTGTGGTCAATCTGTAAGAGGCAGATGAACAAAAAACCCCCACAAATTCTGACAAACTTCAAGCATTGATTATGCAAGAATGGGCTGCCATCAGTCAGGATGTGGCCCAGAAGTTGACTGACTGCATGCCAGAGCGAATTGCAGAGGTCTTGAAAAAGAAAGGTCAACACTGCAAATATTGACTCTGCATATACTTAATGTAATTGTCAATAAAAGCCTTTGACACTTATGAAATGCTTGTAATTATACTTCAGTATATCACAGTAACACTTGACAAAAAGATCTAAAAACACTGAAGCAGAAGACTTTGTGAAAATTAATATTTGTGTAATTCTAAAAATGTTTGGCCATGGTTGTATATGTCAATGGCTACTTCAGCAAGCTTTTTGTTCTTAGAGCTGAATTCTAATCATTCAGCTAAATAGACAATGAAATACATTAATGAAAGTTTGAACTGTCAAAGGATTTGTATTTTTTTGCAGCCCTTAGATTTACACAGCACCTCCCTGTCTGGCAGGGCCAGGGACCTGATCTTTCTCAGTTTCACTTACAGGTCTCCTTTCCACCCTCCCACCATCTCACTCTGTCACTGACCTTCCTACTATAAACATCCTCTGTGTATGAACCTGGCAGAAGATCGGGCAGAGATGCTGGTGAGGGAGCTCATGGACATCATATCACTGGAGGGAGGTGACTATAGTGGAGTTTATTTTCACTTTAAATAACATAAAATAAATCAAGTGCAACTCCATTCAAACATTTTTTTTTTTTTTGGTGGCAGTGGGCAGGGGGTAAAGGTGATAAGAGTACGGCAGGATTAGAACCTCTGCCAGGATCTTATTGTTGCGACCCCATAAAGTAACTTAGAGCGCCACTCCAAGTGCCAATGGAAATCCTCAGGTGATCCACTAAAATTCAGGTGCTAGCATCCACAGAGCCCATCCAAGCCCAAGAAGTAATGCTGCAAGGGCAAGAAGCCACACTCCAGTCAGCCCATGTGTTAGGTGAAGATTAAGAATGGCCTCAACCTCAGCTCCACCCAGGCCATGCCCATTGACATGTTTCATTCCACCCACAGGTCTTAGTCATATCTACGACCAAGCCCTGTGGACAGGGTGAAATGCATCAGGGGCGAGGCCTGGAAGGAGTCAAGGCTGAGGCCATTCTAGGTCTTCATCTAACACATGGGCTGACTGGTGTGCGGCTTTATTTCTGTTGGAGGATTTTATTACTGCCTCTGTGAGGGAGATTTTCTATGACCTCCTGTCAGGGGCAAGGACAGCAGTAAAATAATGGAGTCTACCATTGCTACCTTTCTTGAATACTCAACCCAGAAATATGCAATTAAGTATTTCTGACTCATCCCTGACTTTCCTTACCTGTATATGTTTTCTGGGTCAGTGACTCATAAGATATTAAAACTAGGAGTCAGCATAACAGCCAGGAAACTGGCATTTTCGGGAGGTCAGTAGTGGTACATCCTATCTTTCTATATGTTGCTAAACAGTTAGAAAAGTGAAGGCACACTGTAACTATCGAGAAAATCTGTAGATGAAACAATAAGCAGTGTAATGAATTTTTTAGACTCTGGAGACATGGCTTTGGAGAAGATTGTTTGGCTGACAGAGAAAATGGGAAATTTATCAAATTCAGTAACAAACCTTCTATTTCTAAATCTGTGTCACAGTCTTCCTCATTTTCTTTTGATTCTGTAAAGTCTTCGGAGAATTGCTCTGGTGACTTCTCCACCGCCTCTTCTCTAGACTCTGAGACTTCCGTAATTTCATTGTTGATGTCTCCTTTATTCCTAGATCTTGCTGAAGCTGACCTTTGTACAATCTATACCAGCATATGGGATGTTACGAACCAGCAGAAAATGAAATTATTAAGGATATTGTTTCCAAGGACATGACATTTTACATCAGAGAACAGAATTTACATGCAAAGTGTGGACATTCATCTGTACAATGTAGTAATACTAAATTATACTATTTATAGCTTAACAGCGCTGCTCTTTAACATATATTTCTTATCAAATGACACATTATTTGTAAACTTCAAAATTCAGTTTACAAGCTCAAAAGTCCAATAAAGTGAATACAACAAAGTGCAATGGTTTTTGATGGTGCAGGGATCATGCTGTGCTCCCCTCCTTTGTTCCACTACTCACCGACTGGTGTTGATCCTTAAATACTAAGAGTCAGATTGCACTTATGTGAATAACTTTAAATGTGGGTTCTTCTCTCCATTGTTCCTCCAAGCTTCTGAAGACGCCTTGTGGAAGGGGCAAAACGCGCGAGACGGGGACTTCCGGTGACGTCATGTCCAGCTGGTGGAATGCACACTGCGGTCGGCTTTTCCGCCTTAGCATTACAGGTCTCTTTTATCAATATAATTGTGAATGTAACCTGATTTTTAGTAATTATATTAAAATAACAGTATTACACTATGTACATTTCTGTGATCCTCTCTACATATGACCATCTGTGAACCCTGCTGGGAATTGGAGAAACAATGGAGAGAAGAACCCACATTTAAAGTTATTCACATAAGTGCAATTTGACTCCTAGGTGTCCTTTTATCATGCAGCGGCAAATGACCGCTGCTCAGTTCTCCGGCATTCTCAGAGGAGACAGCTCTCCTCTGAATCTCTTTTTATGAAGCGGTGTAGATCACTTCTCCGAATGAGTAGAGAAGTGATCTACAAGTGCTTTGAACGCTAGAAAACAGCTTCTGTTACTGTAATCATCCAAGTAAAAGACATAACACTAACATGTCAGAAAAAAAAATTGAAAAAAACAGAATCACTGAGTTGGAAAAAAGGATCACCCCTTGTGTCAGTATTTTAATGAACCACCTTTTGCTTAAAATTCCAACCTTTAGTCTGTTGGGATATGTCTCTATTAACTTTGCACATCTAGACTTTGCAGTATGTGCCCACTCTTCTTTGCAGAACTGCTCAAGTTCAGTTAAATTTGATGGTGACCGTTTGAAGACTGCACTCTTCAAGTCATTCCACAGAATTTCTATGGGGTTTAAGTCTGGGCCATGACTAAGCCATGCACGGACATTCACTTTTTTTCTTCTCCAACCACTGTGTGGCCATTGTTTCTGTGTGCTTTGAGTCATTGTCATGTTGGAAGGTCAACCTTCTTCCCATTGACAACTTTCTGGCATAGGGCAGCAGATTTTCCTCAAGAATTTGACAGTATTTTGCCCCATCCATTTTTCCTTCTACCCTGATAATTGCTCCAGTCCCTGCAGCAAAGAAACACCCCTCATAATAAGATATTACCACCTCCATGCTATGTTATTATAGTTTCTGAGATACATTCATCTGTAAGCCGTATATATGTTCTTTAAAAAAAACACATCTTTTGTACTCTAATAATATGATGATTTTATAAAAAAAAACATTTTTGATTTGTTATGTGATACAGTTCCTTGAAAAAGTATTCATACCCCTTGAAATTTTCCACATTTTGTCAGGTTACAACCAAAAACGTGAATGCATTTTTTGGGGATTTTATGTGATAGACCACCACAAAGTGGCACATAATTGTGAAGTAGAAGGAAAATGATAAATTGTTTTCAAAATTTAATTAAATATCTGAAAAGTGTGGCATGCATTTGTATTCAGCCCCCCGTATCAATACTTTGTAGAACCACCTTTCTCTGCAATTACAGCTGCAAGTCTTTTTGGGATGTCTCTATCAGCTTTGCACATCTAAGAGTGACATTTTTGCCCATTCTTCTTTGCAAAATAGCTCAAGCTGTCAGATTGGATGCAGAGTGTCTGTGAACAGCAATTTCCAAGTCTTGCCACAGATTCTCAATTGGATTTAGGTCTGGACTTTGACTGGGCCATTCTAACAAATGAATATGCTTTGATCTAAACCATTCCATTGTAGCTCTGGTTGTATGTTTAGGGTTGTTGCCCTGCTGGAAGGTGAACCCCCCCCCAGTCTCAAGTCTTTTCAGACTCTAACCGGTTTTCTTCTAAGAGTGCCCTGTATTTGGTTCCATCCATCTTCCCATCAACTATGACCAGCTTCCCTGTCCCTGCTGAAGAAAAGAATCCCCACAACATGATGCTGCCACCACCATGTTGCACGGTGGGAATGGTGTGTTCAGTTTGATGTGCAGTTTTAGTTTTCCGCCACACATAGCATTTTGCTTTTAGGCCAAAAAGTTCAATGTTGGTCTCATCTGACCAGAGCACCTTCTTCCACATGTTTGCGGTGTCCCCACATGACTTCTCGAAAACCGCAAACGGGACTTCTTATGGCTTTCTTTCAACAATGGCTTTCTTCTTGCCACTCTTCCATAAAGGCCAGATTTGTGGAGTGAACAACTAATAGTTGTCCTGTGGACAGATTCTCCCACTTGAGCTGTGGATCTCTGCAGCTCCTCCAGAGTTACCATAGGCCTCTTGGCTGCTTCTCTGATTAAAGCTCTCCTTGTCCGGCCTGTCAGTTTAGGTGGACGGACATGTCTTGGTAGATTTTCAGTTGTACCATACTCTTTCCATTTTGGATGATGGATTGAATAGTGCACCGTGAGATGTTCAAAACTTGGGATATCTTTTTATAACCTAACCCTGTTTTAAACTTCTTACAACTTTATCCCTGACCTGTCTGGTGTGTTCCTTGGCCTTCATGATGTGGTTTGTTCACTAATGTTCTCTAACAAACCTCTGAGGGCTTCACAGAACAGCTGTATTTATACTGAGATTAAATTATATACAGGTGGACTCTATTTACTAATTAGGTGACTTCTGAAGGCAATTGGTTCCCATAGATTTAGTTAGGGATATCAGAGTAAAGGGGCCACACTTTTCAGATATTTATTTGCAAAAAATTTTGAAAAACATTTATCATTTTCCTTCCACTTCACAATTATGTGCCGCTTGGTATTGGTCTATCACATAAAATCCCAAAAAAATACATTTATATTTTTGGTTGTAACATGACAAAATGTGGAAAATTTCAAGTGGTATGACTACTTTTTCAAGGAACTGTATATATGCCTTTAAAATCCCATTTAGGGGTAAAAATAGTCTGTTGTGCTTGTTTGCTTCAGTTGCACTATCATGGACTGAAATGCTCCAGGAAAGCTCTTTTCATGCTGAGCTAATCATAATGACCACAGCTGATCATAGTTGAAAGTCAAATGACTTTGTGTGCCATTGAGAAGGTGATTAGCTACACCTGATTGAATTTACAAGTCATTTTTAGGGTGATCCTTTTTCCAACTCAGTGATTCAGGTTTTTGCATCTTTTTTCTGGCATGTTGGTGCTATATCTTTCACTTGGATGCTATAAGTAAACAGCTGGATAAAACAAAAACTGTGTCTGTCTTCATTTCAAGCTGCAAAGCAACAAATGTATAAGTGCTCAAAACATGCATAGATAAGAACAGAACTTTAAAGCAAATAAATCGAATACTACCGTATTTGCCGGCGTATAAGACGACTTTTTTGCCCTGAAAAACATGCCTCCAAGTGGGGGGGTCGTCTTATACGCCGGGTGCACTTCAGTTGGGATAGATATAGCTGCCATAGTGGCCTCCCGATGCCCGCCCGCCCACCTCATTCTACATACCATCCAGTGCGGAGGCCGCAGCGGGTCATCAGCGTGGCTGCGGAGAATCAGCAGCGATACAGGGTGCCAGCCTTTTCTGCTCGGCGGGAAGCAGCGGCGCTCCGGCCCGCCCCTTGTCTATGCAGAGCTCGCACATGCGCACTAGTGCCAAATGCAGGGACTGGCCGGAGGTGCTGCGGTCGCGTACAATGGTGACAATGACAGGTACTGTAGTGGCACTAATACTAATGGCACTCATGTGAAACCAGGTAACAATAAATGCACACAGGGGTATACTGCGAAATAAATTAAGATGTTGAAAATGTTCTTTTACGTTTTATTTGGTGTGTGGAAGGTGTGCGGAAGAGGGGGTAGTCTTATACGGCGAGTATATAACAAACTCTATATTTTGAGTGGAAATGTTGGGGGTCGTCTTATACACCCAGTCGTCTTATATGCCGGCAAATACGGTACCCAGAATTAAACCAAATCCATAGGTTGAACTTAGCATGTACACATAATCATAATGTATATAAAGTCCAAAATATATGTAAATAGGACATTTACAATAGTGGGTAATATTTATTGGTTTGAAGTTCTGTTCTTATCTTATGCATGATTTAAACACATGTATGTGAAAGGCCAACACCTATCTTTACCATTTCTGTGGATTTTGAATGTGGTTTGCATTAGTGGTGCACCGAAATGAAAATTCTGGTGCTGAAACCGATACCAAAAATGCAGAATGCACGTGGCCAAAAATCGAAAACGAAATGTCTGCGTATGTGGGGGTGGGGAGGCTACATTTTTTTTCTTAAATTTCTTTAACTTTAGTGTGTATTTTTATTTATTTTTATAACCACTTGCTCTCCTGAGGATTTACTCCCCTTAATGACCAAGCCTCTTTTTGCTACTCGGCGCTGCACTAATTCAACTGATAATTGCGCGGTCATGCAATGCTGCACCCAAACAAAATTTACATCCTTTTTTCCACACAAATAGAACTTTCTTTTGGTGGTATTTGATAACCTGTGTGCTTTTTATTTTTCACGCTATAAACAAAAAAAGACCGAACATTTTGAAGAAAAACAATATTTTTTTACTTTCGGCTATAAAAAATATATAGTAAACTCAAAGTTAGCTATAAATTTAGGGCAAAATGTATTCTGCTCCATGTTTTTGGTAAAAAAATTCCATAGGTGTATATTGATTGCTTTGTGTGAAAGTTATAGTGTCTACAAACTATGGTATAGATAT